TAACTGCGTTGGACGTAACTATCTTGAATAGTTTTGTATCGTCTGCAGATTTCCCCCCCCACACTGGTCACCCCCTTGTCCAGACCATTTGTAAATATGTCAATCAGCACTGGGCCCAGTACAAATCTTTGGGTCCCCTGCTATTTACCGGTCCTCATTGTGAAAACTGACTGTTTATTCCTACCCTTTGTTTCCTATCTTTTAACCAGTCCCTGATCCAGAAACTTTTGGGTCGGTTAAGAGAAGTGAAGGGGTGAACAGAAATGTGATAACCGGGGGCTCTTTGATCTAGCAGAGAAATGTGATAACTGGGGGCTCTTCGATCTAGCAGAGAAAGGTCAAACACAATCCAATGGCTAGAAGTTGAAGCTAGACAGGGTCAGTGTAAAGTGCATGTTTTTACTAGGTAATCCAGATTGGCTGTTTCTCTAAAAGATCCGTTCTAGTTCAAACAGGAATTAACGGAGGAAAGTCCCCACGGCTTAATCCACAGCCGGGGAGATTTAGGTGAGATATTAGCAAAACCTTTCTAACTCTCAGAGGAACAAAGCTCTGGGACAGGCTCCCAAGTGAGGTTGTGGGATCCCCATCACTGGAGGTTTTTAAGAACAGGTTGGGAAAACTCATGAAGGCTGGTCTAGGGTTAGTTGGTCCTGCCTCAGCGCAGGGCACTGGAGGTGTTGACCTCTCGAGGTCCCTTCCAGCTGGACGTTTCTGTGATCCTCTGGCGGTGTTACACAGGAGAGCAGACTAAGTGCTCATCGGGATCTCTTGGAATCTAGGTTTCTAGGGCTGGGATGGAAACAGAGTTTTGAGTTTTGAAACTGGTTTCTGGAACGAGGACACAAAAATTCGGCATTTCCCATCAAACAAAATTCCAGGCTCCAAACAGTTCGTTTGGGGGGAACCAAACATTTCACTCCCATGGGGACGTCTTTGAGTTCCCTGCAATAATATCAAAGAAGCGAAATCTCTCGGTGTAAAGTCAAAGGTTCTGTTCCAAAAGGTCAAAGCAGAACTTCCCAAGCTGGGAATAGAACCCAGGAGTCCTGGTATCCAGCCCCTGCTCTATCCACTAGACTCCCCACTCCCCTTCCAGAGTGAGGAATAGAATCCAGGAGTCCTGCCTCTGGAGGGAAATGGGGGTCTAGTAGTTGGAAGGGGCTGGGAGTCTGGACTCCTGGGTCCCATTCCCAGCTCAGGGGTGGGGTGTAGCCATGGGGAAATGTCCTGCCACATCTGCTGAAGCAGACTTTGTTCTGGAAGGTCCCTGTGGTGTTAGTTGCTGTCCTGTCAGCGCCCTGGAAAGCAATGCAAAACGGGGGCTCCCCACACCCCCCGTCAGCCTGCCTCTCCCCAGCCCCCTGCTTTGGTGCTTGAGGCCTGGACAACAGCCTAAAAGGCCAGCACCACTGAGCATATCCTTAATGAGGAACCCCCGGGCTTGACCCCTGTGCCAGGAAATTATCATGAAAGGAAGCGTCTGTCGCTTCCGCAGCTCAGCCCCCGGCCAGTGTCCCTTCCCGGAGCCCGTCTGGTTATTGCTCAGTTCCGCATCGCTTGACCCACAGGTCAACACCCTGTGGGCCAGGGACTGGACAGGACCCATCTACCTTGAAGGAGTCGATTGTGCCGCGTAGAACACGATCCAAAGGCTGGAAGTTGAAGCTAGCTGAATTCAGATTGGAAAGAAGGTGTAATTACGAGCAGTGGTGAGCTGGAGCCGGTTGTTAAACTCAGAAGCCCTTTCAGAGCCGGTTGTTCCGCGAGGGAGAACCGGTTCTAACAGGGCTTCTAAATGGAACCGGCCCAAAGTGGCTCCTTCGGCACCGACTCCGCGGGTGCTCCAATCCTGGAGCACCCAAGGGGAAAATTTGGTGGGTGCAGAGCACCCACCGGCAGCTCCCCGGCCCACCCCCGGCCCCAGCTCGCCTCCGCCTCCTCCCCTGAACGCGCTGCCCTGTTCTGCTTCTCCGCCCCCCCCCCCCCCCGGCTTCCCGTGAATCAGCTGTTGGCGCGGGAAGCCGGGGCGGGCCGAGAAGCAGGCCGCGTCTTCCCGCTCAGGCCCAGGGAAGCGAAGCGGAGGTGAGCTCGGGTGAGGGGGGAGGCGCAAGGAGGGCCGCCCGCGCCGCAGCAGGTAACCTGGGTGGGGGGCACGCAGGGGAACCGCTCCCCGCCCCAGCTCACCTCCGCCACCCTCGGCCTGAGCGGGAAGCCGCGGCCTGCTTCTCAGCCCGCCCCAGCTTCCCGCCGAACAGCTGATTCGCGGGAAGCCGGGGCGGGAGGGGGGCGGAGAAGCAGAGCGGGGCCGCGCGTTCAGTGGAGGAGGCGGAGCGGAGGTGATCTGGGGCCGGCCGCGGGGTGGGGAGCTGCCGGTGGGGGCTCTGCACCCACCAAATTTTCCCCGCGGGTGCTCCAGCCCCGGAGCACCCATGGAGTCGGCACCTAAGCACTTTTGATGTGATCAGTGGGGGAGCGGCCGCTCCCCCTGCTCTCCCCCCCCAGCTATGCTCCCCCACCCCAGGAGCCAGAGGGACCTGCCGGATGCTTCCTGGGAGCTGCCCCAGGTAAGCACCGCCGGGACTCCCCACCTCGCCCCCCAGCAGGTGCCTCTGGCTCTTAGGGGTGGAGTGGGCACGCACTACGGTGGCCCATGAGACCCTCCTGCTCGGTTCTGGGGGCAGTCAGGGGACAGGGGAGGGGGGTAGATGGGGCAGGGGTCCTGGGGGGGGGCGTCAAGGAACGCAGGGGGGGGTTGGATGGGGCAGGAGGCCTGGGGGGCGGGGGTGGGCAACGACCCCCTCGTGGGGTGAGGAAGGGACACATTGTTAAGATTTTGGCAGCTCATCACTGATTAGGAGTGAGGGTCATTAACCATTGGAAGAATTTACCCAGGGGTGTGGTGGATTCGCCATCACTGGCAATTTTGAAATCAAGATTGGGTAGGTTTTCTAGAAATCGTTTGGGGGAAGTTCTCGGGCCCGTGTCATACGGGAGGCCAGACTCCATGGTCACAGCGGGGCCGTCTGGCCTTGGAATGGATCGCTGGGCTCGGAAGGATTGGATTTGTATCAGTCAATGTCAATTACACACACAAACTGATGGGGGGAAAACATTTCCTCATAATAATTGAAATCAACAGCTAGGCAAGGGAGGAAAAAGGCTGCAATGTATTAGATTAAAATTCCAGTGATTTAGACCAGTGGTTCTCCACCAGGGGTACGCAGAGGTCTTCCAGGGGTCTTCTATTTGCCTAGTTTACAACGGGCTACATAAAAAGCCCTGGTGAAGTCAGTACCAACTAAAATGTCATACAGACAGTGACTTGTTTGCATGGCTCTATATATGAGACACGGAAATGTCAGTGCAATATTTATATTCCAATCGATTTATTTTCTAATTGTGTGGTAAAAAGGAGAACGTCAGCAATTTTCGGTAACAGTGCAGCAGTGACACTTTTGCATTATGAAGTCTGATTTTGTCAGCAAGTCGTTTTTAAGTGAGGTGAAACTTGGGGTAACGCCAGACAAATCAGCCTCCTGGAAGGGGAGCTCTGGAAAGGTTGAGAGCTACAGATTGCGACTTTTGATTTAGGCTGGTTACAAACAGACTCGCAAATCAGTAGCGAAAACAGGTACGATTTGTTGATTTAAGGACATTTACTTGGTACATTGTGACATGGGACGCTGACCAGTTGTGTTTTCGTGGGCTATAAAGCTTTAACTTTTTGAACCTCCACATCTACTGTTATTAAATCATTGTCTCCCCCCACAATCATTTCCCACAACTGTGAATTTAAATCAATTTTTTAAAATGCTTAAACCCCATAATTTTACACAGGGGTGAGAATTTAAATTAAATAAAAAGCTTAAAAAGAAATATTGGTATCTGTCCAAATGATAAAACAATAATAATTGAATGCTGCCAAGCCCAGCTGTCGGGAGGGGGTTGTTGATTTCTGCTCTGGGAGGAGCTTAGACAGACAGGTATGCATAGGGAGGCAGAGTGGTTAGCGAAGTGGCCTAACTCATAGGAGTTTTGGGCTCTAGTCTTCGTTCTGCCTGCTGCGTGACCTCTGACAAGCTGTGGCGAACAAGACCAGTTTCCTGCACCAAGCGATTTGAGATCCACGGAAATACTTAAGGAGATTTGGTTCTCGCTGCAGGGCATTGTTTTCCCGGCCCTGGGCTCATCCAGAGGAGAAGAACAAAAACTATAAAATGGTTTCGAAAGACCTGACCTAGGAGGAAAGGTTTAAAAAAGGGGGGGGGCCCATTTAGTCTGGAGAACAGACGGGCGAGGGGGAACCTGAGAACGGTCGTCAAATCTGTTCAGGGAGGGTACAAAGAGGACGGTGATCAACTGTTCTCCCTCTCCAGGACAAAAAGGGACAGGCTTAATCAGCAGCAAGGGAGATCTAGGTTGGCTATTAAGACAAACTTTCTAACTCTAAGGACAGTTAAGCTCTGGGACAGGTGACCCAGGGAGCTTGTGGAGTCCCCGTCACTGGAGGATTTAAGACCAGGTTGGGCAAACCCCTGTCCGGGGCTGGTCTAGAGTTACTTGGTCCTGGGCTCAGCGCAGGGGGCTAGACGTGATGCCTCTCGAGGGCCCTTCCAGCCGGACATTCCTGAGGCTCTTAGTAAAACGCCAGCCCTGAACGCAGCATTGCAGCCTCGGTTAAACCCACGCACAAATCGCGGCAGGACTGAGGTCCTAGACTGCATGGTGCAGCTTCCTTCCTGAGGCTCTGGGTCTAAGTTTGTTGCCAGGAGCCTTGACTGGGTTCACGGATACACATGCCAATTAATAATAACGACTTGGCCTAATGCGTGTGAGATCCACCGAGGAAAAGTGCTCGATGTAGCCACACACACACACACACACACACACATACACACAAAACCGCTTTTTTGGGATTTGTTTTTTATATCATAAAAAACAGATCAAACCAAACCCTTCCCCCCCACCTCCAAAAAAAAAACCCCAAACCAGGAAAAAAAAATGTACAAGTTAATTTACTTCCCCGTTCTGCGCGTCAATAATAATTAATTCATTCATAATTAAAAAACCAACCAAACCAAAACACCCGACGGATTCGGTGGCCCCGAAAGACTCCGGAGCTTAGCGACGGCGGTGGAGAGGGGTGAAAATCTGAACAGAGAGGCTGTTTCTTTCTGTTGGGGGAGTGGGGGGGGGGGTGCGTGCGTGCATGGAGGGAAATAAGAAACCAGCCCCAAAGTAACACAAAAGAGCCCCGAATCCTTCTCTGAAATGCGACCGAGTAGCTCCTTGGCAGGCAGCCGGGCGGGTCAGGTTCACGTTCTGTTAAGTGCCCGAGTCTGGCTTCTCCGTCAGCCTCTCGGAGCCTTGCGATGCTCGACGGCCCGGCTTCGTCTCCTCCCGAGCGCGGCCCGCTCTGTCCGCTCGGACGAGGGGTTCCTGGGGGGATGGCGGGAGAGGGGGGCGGATCCATGGGGGGCAGGGAGGGACGGGGACGGCAGCAGGGGTCTCTGTGTCCATGGTCGCCCCGCTCTGGGGCGGCCTCCCCCAACTCTGGGGTGTCGGGGGCGGGCGTCGCGGGCTGCTGCCTGGGGGCATGAGGGGGCGGGGGGAGGAGGGGCCATGGCACGGGCTGGCGGGAAGAGGGGAGGGGGAGGATAGGGGGAGAGGGGGTGCCTGTACCCTGGCTGCTGCATGAGTTCTGTGCCCGTGGGCCCGGCAGGATAATGGCCCGGCAGGGCCCGGCATATCCTGGAAACCTGGAAGAGACGGGGAAAGGGGGGGTGGGTGGGGCAGATTAGTGCTATACGGGGGGCGGGGGAGGCCTGGAGAGGGGGAATGGGGTGGGGAAGGCAGGTCGGGGGATGGGCAGGTCGGAACGGGGTGCGGGAGGGGAGACGGGCAAAGGGGATGAAGGCAGGAGGTTGGTCCGGGGAGGGATGGGGCTAGCTCACAATTGCCCCCCCCCAGACCCAGCCTGGCTCACGCTACCCCCCCCCCCACCCCATGACTGCTGGGCGATTCTCCTTGGCCCACCCCCCCCGCCCCCCCAGTGCTGACCCCAGGTGGGATCAGTCCAGGACCCAGTAGCTGCGAGGGGTGAAACAAGAAAAGCCAGGGGCAGGCCCCTCTCCTGCAGGGACCGACGTCGCCTCCCCCCCCCCCCGGCCCCATACTCACCTCCCCCAGCGTCGGCGTCAGCAGGCAGCTCACATATAGTGCCATTGGCCCTCCATTCCCATGGCGATGCCCATACTGCCCATCGGACCTGGCGGGGGAGGAGAGCTGAGACCCCACCCACAGCCCCAGAGCCCTAGATCCCGGGGTCGGACGGGACCCCCCCGGCCGGCCAGCCCGGCTGACCCAAGCGGAACAGCCTCCCGCCCCCGTCGCTCCCGCCTCCAGCCCATATCTGACGGGGGAGCTAGACCAAACCTTTCCGCAGCCCGGTTTAAAGGCTTCCCCCTGGGTTTGATGCAGCATGGAAAGGGGGGGGCCATAAAACGGCACGCACCATGCCAGCCCCTCCCCCAGCCCTCCCCCACGGCGCAGGTTCACCCGGCTGGGACAGCAGCCAGGAGCATCAGCTGTTTAGTGGGGGTGGGCTCCTGTCTGAGACCGGCCCACCTCATTCCACTTCTGGTGACTGTGTCTCGAGGGACATCGAGTCGTACTGGGGCCTGGCTGGACGTCTTCCTCAGCGAAAAAGGGGTCCCCCCCGCTTCCCCCCCCAATCGAAACACGGCTTTTTCCGACAGATACAAAACACACTCGGGGGGTGGGGGTCGGGGGGGGGAATTGCTGGAATGGGGGAGATTTTTCCCCCCTCCCCCCAGAGACAAACCAGCCGTTTGGGCTTCGATTCCAATCGAAACGGAAAAAAATTTGGAGGGAGAATTTAAAACCCTTTCCCCCCTCCCCCCAAAAAATTTTCACACTGAATCGAAGAGGAATTCGTCCTTGCAATGAAGAATAGGAACCGGTGTGGGGCGAGGGGAAGGGGGGGCCCCGATATATATTTTTTACGGCTGGAGACGTTTCCGGAGGAAAGTACATGTCCCGTTTTTTCGGTCCCACCCCCTGGCGCCCCCCAGGACTCCGGTTCCCCCCACTGTCGCCAGGGGAGGGAGGAATGAAACTGGACTGGACGGAGGAGGCCGGCGAGCTAGTCCAGCCCCACCCCACTCCAGCCTTACCTGGGGGGCGGATGGCCATGTGCTGTTGCCCGTCCATGACGTACCCGCCGATGGGCTGCGCGTCGGGGCTGTAGGGCGCCCCCTGACCTGCGCCCAAGAGAGGGAGGAAAGGTCACGGTGGAGATCGGGGGGCAGTTTCAAAGTGTGGGTGGGGGGCACTGTGGGCTCTGCAGAGTGGGCACAAGCCCGGGGGGGGACATGCCACCCCCTCCTCTGTCGGGCAGCAGGGCGCTCGGTCCCCGTGGCCTTGTCCAGGTCTGGCAGGCAGAGGGTTTCGCGGGCTCCCCGCCTGCCGTGCCCCCGCGCCTCTCCCCCCCCCCCGCCAGAGCCCCGCCAGCTGGGCCTCACCTGTGCGGTTGGACTGGTCGATCATCGGCTGGACGATGCGCCTCCGGGCGTTAATAAACCTGCACCGGGCGGGACAGACAGACAGAGGGTGAGTCCCGGAGTGGCTGGGGCTGGGGGGAGAAGGACACAGCCCGGAGACCCAGGGACCTCAGGTGCAAGGGGAGGGTGGAGGTCACAGCCCCCCCACCCGCACCGGGGGTTTTGTCTCCCGGGGTTGTTGCAGCGTGTCTATCTGGGGAAGGGACCACAACAGCCTCCTTGGGGGCATGTGCCCCCCATTGGGTGCCAAATAGGCCTGACGGGGGATCAGTCCCCCCTGCCCACTCCATTCCCCCCCCCCAACCACCACCCCACAGCCAGGGATTGAAGCCAGGAGTCCAGGCTCCCAGCTCCCCTGCTCTAACCACTAGACCCCACTCCCCTCCCAGAGCTGAGGATAGAACCCAGGCATCCTAGAGACACCCCCCCCGATTCTAGCCCTGAGTCCACCGTGTTCCCCAGAACCCCCCGCCCCACAGTGTTCCTCACAGGGCCCGGGGTCTGCACGAGGGGAAAGGGGCCCCCAGCCCCTGCTTCTGGGGGGAGGTCTTACTCTGATCATGGGTGTGTTGGGGGGTGCCAGGGTGTGGGGGAAGGGGAAGGCAGGAGGCCCATGGGTGGGGGCATGGGGCATGGGGGGAAGAGATGAGAGGGGTGGGGAAGTGAAGGGCATGGGTGGGGGCTGCAAGGTGGGCGATTCCAGGGGCATGGTGGGTTGCAAGGAGGGTCAGTGTTTGGGGGTGTGAGGGGGGAGGGGGAGAAGCCAGAGGCAGAGGGGGTTGCGAGGGGGGAGATGCCAGAAGTGGGGGGGTGGGTTGCGAGAGGGGATGGGATAATCCCAGGGGCAGGGGTTGTGAAGGGGAGGGGGAGATGCCAGAGGCAGGGGGGTTTGCGAGGGGCCAGGGGGAGATGTCAGAGGAGGGGGGTTGTGAGGGGGAGATGCTGGGGGGGGGCTGCCAGGGGGGAGGGGGGAGATGCCAGGGGTTGGGGAGTTGGGAGGGGGACGGGGCGATGCTGGGACACGGGGGGGGGTTGTGAGGGGGAAGCGGGAGATGCTGGAATGGGGGGTTCGAGGGGGAGATGCCAGAGGCAGGGGGGGTTGCGAGGGGGAGATGCTGGGATGGGGGGGTTATCATGAGGGGTGCAAAGGGGGAGGGGACGTGTAGGGGAGTGGGGTGGGGTCACGAGGAATGGTGGTGGGGGTGGGCTGAGGGGCATGGAGGGACGGTAAGAGGGGGTGCAGGTGGGATCACCCCACCCCCCCAGGGCAGCTTCCAGGCCAACCTTACCAGTTATTGACCTGCAGGATGGTGAGCCCCGTGTCCTGTGCCAGCTGCTTCTTCTGCTCCTCCGAGGGGTACGGGTGCTGCAGGCCAGAGCAGAGAGCAGCGTGACCCCGGGGGCAGCCCTGGCCACGCGGCGCCCCCGGCCAGAGGAGGATCTCAAAGCCCTTGGCCGGGGGGCACCAGGCCCTGCGAGCCGCCTGGTGACAGGGACACTTTAATTCCATTATAAAGATGGGGAAACTGAGTCACAAAGAGGGTAAGTGGCTTGGGTGAAGCTAGTGCCAGAGACAAGGAGAGAACCCAAGAGTCCTGGCTCCCAGCCCACCCTCCCTTCCCACAGCAGGAAATTGAACCCAGGAGTCCTGATTTCGAGCCCTCCTCCTACACCATCCCCTGAGCAGGGGATAGAACCCAGAGTCCTGGCTCCCACTCCCCAGTTCCAACCACTAGACCCCACTTCCCAGAGTTGGAAATGGAACCCAGGAGTCCTGAGTTCTCTACCTCATAAGAAAAGGTGGTCAATATTTGTCAAGTGCTTTGAGACCCTAGGATGAAGTAAAAACATAATTAACACTAATTATTATCATTCCCTACACAAAATGCCCAGTATTCCCTGCCACGGATGCTGCCAGCCCTGGGGCCTTGGATCTATAGTGAACAGGTTTAAAACTTTCCTCTAGTAGTTAGAGATGTGGGTTAGAGCAGGGGGTTGGGAGCCAGGATTCCTGGGTTCTATTCCCAGCTCTGGGATCCTTCCCGCCCTCAGCCTCCCCCTTCCTCAGCTTCCAGCCAGATGGCCTGGCTCAGAAACCTCGTCCTCCCATCCCGCGGGGCAGCAAAGGTCCTGCCGATCAAAGGCCAGGCAGCCTCGTGCTTTCCCTGCCAGGCCCCAATGATGGATGAGGCAGCACCGTTCTGTGGGTCACCCCGAGACCTCTGCCAAGCCCCCCCCGGCCCTGACAGCGCGGTGACAGATGACAGGCGGCCTTCCCTGGCTGCCCAGGTCACCGCAAGCTGGGCAGTTGCTAGGAGGCAAATTCAGAGCTCCCAGGGGAGATTTGATGCCTCCAAAAAATAGGTTAGAATCCCAGGCATCACAGACGAGGAGGGATCTGGGCCAGGTCCGTTGGGTACCAGGATCTGGGCCAGCTGAGGTTCAGTTTGGGCTAGGTAGGGTCCATTTGGGGCCGGGGGCCACTGGGGGCCAGGGTGTGGCCAGGTTAATTTGGCATCAGGGTCTGGCCCAGGCAGGGATCATTCCTTCGATGGTGACATTTACGACTGTGACATTTGCTCTTTGTGGTGGTTACATGCATCATGTCCCCCCTTCAATGTCTGGTCCACAGAGGGTGAGAGCCTTCTACTGCTACTGGCTGATGGAGTCGCCCCCTCAGCTCAAGGCCTGAGATTCTGGCACTTGGGGAGCAGGGTCCAAGCCCAGCTATGACAGGCTGAATGGGCTTATTCTGTCGGCAGTGCGGGCTAGTGGATGGAGCAATGAACTGGGACTCGGGAGAGTATGGTTCTAGGCCTGGCTATTTGCTATCTTATAATAGCTGGCTATGAATAAACCCAGGGGTCCTGACCCCTGCTCCTCTAACCACTAGACCCCACTCCCCTCCCAGAGCCAGGGAGAGAACCCAGGAGTCCTGGCTCCCAGCCTCCTTCCCTATTCTACACCCTTCCCAAAATTCAACTTTGACCCGCCCAGTTAGCGCATGGCACAATTTATGCCAACTTCCCGCTCCACCAGAAGGCTCCCCATGAAGAGTCTCCAGTTTCAGAAATGGGGGGCTGGGTGGGGGGGGACAGAGCCACTGGGGGGGGGTCACCCCCTATCCCGCCAGGCTGGGAAAAGCCTCTGCTAAGCAGAGCCCTCTGGGGTGGCAGCACCAGCCAGTGGGTTCGGGGTAATTGACCAGAATTGATTACCCCTTCCCAGTCCCTAATAGGTTTATGGTGTCGTCAATTAGTGACTAATTGGTCAGCGCTCATTAACTCGGCTTTGTTTAACTAACCAGGGAGAGACGGGTGCCGCAGCTCCCCTAACTGCTCGGTGGCACAGCAGTGAAATGGCAATTCAGCAGCCTGCCCGCTCGGGGGCCGGGCCGTTCACCAGCTCTCTGAGCTGTAACCAGCACCGGGGGTCGGGACCGGCCTGGGGTCCCACAGCTCCGGTGAGTGTAGGTGGGACCTTTCCCCGTGCTAGGGGGCACTTTGCTCGCTCACTGCAGGCCTGGTTCTCTTATGCCAGTGCCCCTCTGGGCTCCCCACCCAGAGCTGGGAACAGAACCCAGGAGTCCTGGCTCCCAGCCCTCCCCTGCTCTGACCACTAGACCCCGCTCCCCTCCCAGAGCTGGGGAGAGAACCCAGGAGTCCTGGCTCCCAGGCTCTAACCATTACACTCCAGTCCAACCCCATGGCTTCTGTCTCACTCACTTTCCCTCCTTACGTCTCTGGCACCTGGCCTTGCCCTGCCCCCTTCTCGTCACTCACCGACAGGTGCTGGAACAGCCAGGCCCGCATGATGTTGGTGGCTACTTTGGGGAAGATCCCCCGCTTCTTGTTGCGTTTTTTTGTCTCGGTCCAGGTCATCGTCATCCCCAGTGCTGGGGGAGGCCACGCTGTTATCCAGGCAGTCCCCTGGAAGGAAGGCACCCTGAGTGTCCAGGAGCAGGACTTGAACCAGGGAGCGGTTCTACCGAGGCACCTGCCCCTTGCGGCTTGAGCTAAAGGAGAGCTCTCGGCCCCTTCCCTGGCATTGACTCATAAACGCGGTTGAGCCACTAGGGGGTGACAAAGAGCCACAGCAGGGGGCACATGGCCCCCTAGGGGCGAGAATGAGAAGTGCAGACTCTTGGCTGTTCTCCACCCTTGCTTCACGTCTCCTTCTCCTGCACCTTGGGCAAGCGTCTTCACCAGTGCACAAAATCCCAGTGCCCGTGTCCCCTCTTGCACCAGCCCGGCTCTCCCCCCGGAGCTGGGGACAGAACCCAGGGCTCCTGGCTCCCAATCGTCCTCCACGCTTACTTTAACGCTAGAGCGCACAAAATCCCAGTGCCCGTCCCCTCTTGCACCAGGCGGCTCTCCCCCAGAGCTGGGGACAGAACCCCCGGAGCTGGGGACAGAACCCAGGGCTCCTAGCTCCCAATCGTCCTCCACGCTTACTTTAACCACTAGAGCCGCACAAAATCCCAGTGCCCGTCCCCTCTTGCACCAGCCCGGCTCTCCCCCCGGAGCTGGGGACAGAACCCCCCGGAGCTGGGGACAGAACCCAGGGCTCCTAGCTCCCAATCGTCCTCCACGCTTACTTTAACCACTAGAGCCGCACAAAATCCCAGTGCCCGTCCCCTCTTGCACCAGGCCCGGCTCTCCCCCCGGAGCTGGGGACAGAACCCAGGGCTCCTGGCTCCCAATCGTCCTCCACGCTTACTTTAACCACTAGAGCCGCACAAAATCCCAGTGCCCGTCCCCTCTTGCACCAGCCGGCTCTCCCCCAGAGCTGGGGACAGAACCCAGGGCTCCTGGCTCCCAATCGTCCTCCACGCTTACTTTAACCGCTAGAGCCGCACAAAATCCCAGTGCCCGTCCACTCTTGCACCAGGCCCGGCTCTCCCCCCAGAGCTGGGGACAGAACCCCCCGGAGCTGGGGACAGAACCCAGGGCTCCTGGCTCCCAATCGTCCTCCACGCTTACTTTAACCACTAGAGCCGCACAAAATCCCAGTGCCCGTCCCCTCTTGCACCAGGCCCGGCTCTCCCCCCAGAGCTGGGGACAGAACCCCCGGAGCTGGGGACAGAACCCAGGGCTCCTGGCTCCCAATCGTCCTCCACGCTTACTTTAACCACTAGAGCCGCACAAAATCCCAGTGCCCGTCCCCTCTTGCACCAGGCCCGGCTCTCCCCCCGGAGCTGGGGACAGAACCCAGGGCTCCTGGCTCCCAATCGTCCTCCATGCTTACTTTAACCGCTAGACCCCACTCCCCTCCCAGAGCCAGAACCCAGGAATCCTGGCTCCCAGACTCCCCTACTCCAACCCGCTGCCCCCCACTCCCCCACCAGTGGCTGATGCTGGATCCCTGCCCCACTGCAGCCTGGGCCGAGCCTCACCAGCCTTGGGAATTTGGGACTTTTCCTTGGTTCCTTGCAGTGCTGGGCCCAGAACTAGGCTATTTCGGATCAGACAGACTCTAGTTTCCTCTCAGCCCCAGCCTCGGGATGGGGACTTGAGTGACTCCAGAGTGGTGGTTGGGGAGAGCTTAGGTGTGTTTTGCACCTGGGCCCAGATCCTCAGAGGTGTAGGGCAGCTAAGCAGCAGCACACCATGAGGATGGGGCCTTAGAAGCTATGGGGGTGGGGTGGGGTGAGGCCGGGTAACGGATGGACAGACAGAAGGGTATGATGGGCGGACGACTGCATCCCTCCCTGTAGGTCTCCTAGGCCCCCTGCCCTGCCAGCATCTTTCGGTGAACTCCTGCCTGGGGCAGGATTCGAACCCGCGACGTTAAGGGCTGGCAGGGGAAGTGGTTCCCTTTGAGAAACAAACCTTCCCCGCGGCTGAGGTGAAATGAAACGGAACCCGGGTCTGCTCGCTGGCCGGGTGTGTGTGTGTGACTGCCACCTCCTGGATGGAACGGGAATTGCACTCCTGTGTGTCCTAGACCCCCTACCCTGCTCTCAGCTGCTGGGGGTTCTCCTTTGGCTCAGGATGCGAGACACAGCAGATTGTGGGTTCAACCCCCCCACCCCGCCCCCGAAAGGTTCTGACGGCTGCTTTCGTTCCCTGCTCTCTTCTCCCCCCAGCCCCAAGATGCTGCTCTCCCCCAGCAGGGCCGCAGCCTCCTCCGGGCCTCGGCCCTGATCCTACGTCCTCTCTCGGGCACGCGGGCACCTGCTAGCACCGTTTGCAACCCACTCCCCAGCCCCCCGCCCCGGAGAAACATAAATCCCCCCCCTCCAGCTGCTGATCTTTCATATCCTCCGGCTAAAAGGCAGCTTAAAAGTCTTGCCTGAAGCGCCGGTAAATTATGCATCAGAGAAGGTGCTGCGGGGGCTGGGTTCTCCCTCGCCCCCCCCTCACCCACCCGCAGCCGATGGATTTTCAGAGCTGGGAAATCCCAGAGAACAAAGGGAACAGCAGGAACAAAAGGGCTGGGGTGGGGGTGGGGTTCTGGGAGGGGGGGAGGGGGGTTAAGTGGGTCGTAAGAGGTTTGGGGGGGGGGAGGAACAATGTGGGGGGAAGGGGAGTGGGGTGCAGGGATGAGCCGGGTTGGGGCAGGGGCGTCAGGAGCAGGGAAGTGGTTGGGGGAGAGGAGTGCAGAGGAGAGGGGGGTTGGGAGCAGGGAGGGGGTGGGGAAGGGGAGTGGGGTGTAGGGAGGTGCTGGGGTGGGGGAGGGGAGCTAGGAGAAGAGGGGGAGGGGCCTTGGGAGCAGGGCGGGCCCTGGGGTGCACCAGCTCTGAACCCCAGTTTGGGACAGGAAGTGATGGTGACCCCCTGGGAGCTGCCAGGTCAATTCAGGGCCCGGCACCATCCACCGCAGGACAAGCAGAGTCAGCACCTCCCTGCGGCGCAGCGCCCCCTAGTGCCCCACTGGGGCAATGGGTCCAGCCCTGGCTGCCAGGGGAGAGCGCCCCCTGCTGTCCCCCGCCCCACTCCCTGCCCCACAGCGCCCCCTAGTGCTGCCCTGGGGCCAGCCCCGCCTGCCAGGGGAGAGCGCCCCCTGCTGAGCCCCCCCGCCGCACTCCCTGCCCCACAGCGCCCCCTAGTGCCGCCCTGGGGCCAGCCCTGCCTGACTGGGGAGAGCGCCCCCTGCTGAGCCCCCCGCCCCACTCCCTGCCCCACAGCGCCCCCTAGTGCCGCCCTGGGGCCAGCCCCGCCTGCCAGGGGAGAGCGCCCCCTGCTGAGCCCCCCGCCGCAGTCCCTGCCCCACAGCGTCCCCTAGTGCCGCCCTGGGGCCAGCCCCGCCTGCCAGGGGAGAGCGCCCCCTGCTGCCCCCCGCCCCACTCCCTGCCCCACAGCGCCCCCTAGTGCCGCCCTGGGGCCAGCCCCGCCTGCCAGGGGAGAGCGCTCCCCACTGAGCCCCCCGCCCCGCTCCCTGCAGCGTAGCATAGTCGTCCCCCCCCCGCCCCCGGGCGCATTGTGTGGCTCTAGAAAGGATTCACAGCCCCCTTGTCCGTGTTGTGCGGATGCACAGAGTGTGTGGACGTGTGTATGGCATGGACAGCACACACACGCACATGTGTGGATGCACAAGGCCCGTCTAGTGCTGCGTGGTACGGGGGGCGTGCGTTATGGAGACGCACAGCGGACGTCTGTGTGTGTGTGTTGTGTGGCTGCACGGGGCGCACGTGTTGCACAGATGTGCGGTGTATCATGTGCGTGTTGTGTGGCTGAGCGGTGCACGCGTGTGTGGGTTGTGAGCTTGCACGGGGGGGATGCACCGTGCACGCGTGTGTATGTTCTGAGGCTGCACGGTGTAGCTGGGAGGCGGGAGCGGGGTGTTGAGGGGGGGGGGGTTGGCCATGTGGCCACACCGTGATTAATTCAGGCTCCTGTTACGTTTGGGGCCCCACCAGAGACAGGCAACGAGGCAGGGTCATGCGTCCCCCCACTGCCTTTCCAACCCCCCGGCACTGTTCCTCCAGTCCCCCCTAACTGCCCCCCTCACTTTCCTTCCATCCCTCCACTGCCTCTCTATCCCCCTCTCCCCCCCCACTGCCCTCCCTCTCTGAGTTCGGCTCTCTGCCACCCCACAGTCTCCCCGTGGGGCTGCGCTGAGCAGGGAGGAAGGCGACCTCAGTGAGCCCAGAGCCGAAGGCAGCCGTGGCCCCTTCCTCCGCCCTCTCTGCTCCACTCCCCAGGTTCGTTCGCCGGGTAATCACCGAGCCGAGGGCAGTACCGTGCGCGCCCAGAGCCGATGCATTGTCTGGCCTGGCGGCTGGGCTCTTGGAAACATCGTACTGGAGGTTCCTACCCACGGGCATGAGGGAGCCCGGAATAAACAGCCGCCCTGCTCCACCCCAGAGGCAGCTGCATTGCAGGGTTGAACGGGCCACGCGGGCTGCCATGCAAGGCAGGAAGGGGTTAACGGGCTTCCAAAGGGCCAATCAGCCCAAACAACGACACCTGTCAGTGAAAGTTTCAAAGGAAAAGCCCTTGGCAGGGAGCGAGAGAGGCAGATCTGGCCTAGTGGATCTCCTGGAAGACTAGGAAGCTCCCTGACTTGGTTTGGACTTGGGGTGTCCTGGAACGGGGCGAGACCTCACTGCAGAGCTAGTCAGTGTCAGAGGCTGGCTGGAGCCGGGGAAGAGCAGCTGGGAAACTGAGGCTCCACCTCGAGGGGGCACCCAGGTGAGGTTGTTTCCCGACAGGCAGGCTCTCGTGCGACACGCGTGTGTCTAGATAGTCGCACAGGCCTGTGACTGGTTGCTGGGGAGACGCCCTCCTGGGGCTTGGGCTCGGGCCAACGCTGCTGGGACTGTGTGGTACCGGGGGGGGGCTGCTGATCAGTGACACTTGCTAGGGTCAAATTTCTCCCCCAAATCAAACTCCAGCTACAGGGATTCTGTTCTACCGCCTCCCCCCCCCCGTGTCATTTCATTGGGAGTTGGGATCCTCCTTCGCTTTGCTGTCCCAAACTATTCTGTACCACTGTGGCTGTTAATCATCTGGCCTGCTGCACCCCAGAGGTGGCTGCATTGCAGGGCTGGGAGAGGGATCGCTGAAAAAAACAGCGGCCCTGCTCCACCCCAGAGGCGGTTGCATCCCAGGGCTGGATGGCACCTGTCAAGTACTTCTCAGGATGTAAAGAAGCTTTTTTTCTCCCAGCCAGGAGATTTCTCTCTCCCGTCCCCAGTCCAGGCTTTGCCCCACAGGCTGGGCTGGGGCGGGGGAGGGAGCCGGGATGGGGGGGGTGTCCCACCTTACCTGGTTCGCTGGAGTTGTCCCCGCTCTGCGAGGCGATGCCCCCACTGGAGGGCCCCGGTGTTCCCGAGTGCGTGGACCCCGTCTCGTCATGGTCTCGGATCCAGGAGTTATTCTAAACACAGAGAGGGCAGCGCTGGGAGGGTGAGCGCCGGGTAGTGGAGCTGAAGCCAGGGCCAGCGTGACCCCACTGTTCCCCCTGTAATGCCCAGGCTAATCCACGGTTACTCCTGCTACGCCCCGTCTCAGCCCGGTGCCTTGCGTGCACTGCCTGGGGCCATGCCTGGCGTGGCAGGGGTCCCCGAGCCGGGGTGGAGGGGCCGTGGATCTTGGCCGAGGGAGTCTGGGCCCCCCCAGCACAATGAGGGGCCCCCATCTGGGTTGTGAGGTCTGTGCAGCGCCTGGCACGATGGGGGCCCCAGATCTGGGGGGGGGGGAGTCTGTGCAGCGCCCAGTGTCATGGGGACCCCGGGTCTCAGTCTGGGGGGTTCTGTGAAGTACCCACTGTGATGGGGACCCTGAATGTCAGTGATGGGGGGTCTGTGCAGTGACAGGGACCCCAGATCTCAATTGGGGGGCCCAATCTCAGTTGGTGTCTCTAGTTGCTCCCATGTTATCAACACTAAAAGACCCTCTAACAAGACCAGACCCACAACAACGGGGCCGGGGGGAGAGCGGGATTTGCACACCTAGGATCGCTGTGAACCCCCAGGCTGCAGGGCAGAGTTTAAGGGGCACCAGCTTTGCCCCCAGGAGGAATGGCACAGCTCAGGTTGCACCCCCCTCCCCCACCGCCATCCCTTTTGCCCTCGGCCCATCTAACCCCCTCCCCATATGTGCCCCACCTCGTTAACCCCGGCTAGCTGATCCCAGGCCCCTCGGTGGGAGCCTGGCGGTTAGAAGGGTTAAGGAGGGACGGGCTGCAGGGAGGAACCTGACACGCGCCCCCCGTGGGAGTAGGGGAGGGAGTGGATCAAAGGTCCCTGGTTAAAGGCCCAGGAGGTCGAGACTGCAGCCGTGACTGTAACCAAAGCACCGGGGCCGCGTGGAGTGAAATTCCCGCTGCTCCTACCAGCGCTGGCCTCTTTTAAACTGGTGTCACTTCAGAGTGACTCCACACTCCCCCTAACAGAGCTGGGGATAGAACCCAGGAGTCCTGCCTCCTGCTCTACCCACTAGACCCTGCTCCCCTCCCCAAGACGAGGCGAGAACCCAGGAGTCTTGGCTCCCAGCCCCCCCCGCTCTAATCACTAGACCCTGCTCCCCTCCCAGAGCTGGGGATAGAACCCAGGAGTCCTGGCTCCCGGTCCCCCTGCTCTAACCACTAGACCCCACTCTTTCCCCGCTCTGCTGCTCTCAGAGTCGTTGGGGTCTCGCTTCACCACAAATGCCGACAACTTGGTTCATTGCTCTGGGGGGGTCTTGGGGCCCGGCCTGTGCATTAAACAGCCGCTTTGCAAGCCAAAGAGCAGGGCTGGGTATTCTCCCGTCTCCAGCCTGAGACCTTCCTCGGCCATCCACAAGGCTGCAAATATTCCCCAGAGGAAGAGAGGAGTTTTGCCATGTGTGTGCATTTGCAGGGTGGGTGTGTGTTGTCTCTACCGGCCGCGATGCCGTTTGCAGCGTGTGTGTGTGCAAAGATCAGGCGTGTGCACCCACCCAGATCAAGCGTGTTTGCAGCATGTGCCTGTGTACATGCAAAGAAAGCGTATGTTGGCAGCGTGTACCCACGATCTGTGCACGGCGCACACGGAGACACAAAGATCATGGGTGCGTTTGCGGCGTCTGTGTCCCTATGTGTGCACAGATTGTTGGGTGTGTCTGTCTCTGAAGGCATGGCGTGTGGGGGGTGTGTGTGTGTGTGTATTATGAGAGGTTTCCCCTGCCCTAGGAGGGGTCCTGCTAACAGGCCGGACCCACCGGTGTCTGTCATTGTCCGAACCCCAAGGACAGATGGGTCAGGGGGGGGGGGGGGCTTGGCTGCTTCCCCTCCGGCTGCTCCCAAGTCCTGGTCTGGAATCAGGGATGGACTGTGTGTGTGTGTGGGGGGGGGGGGTTATGCAGGGCCTTGATGCTGATGCTGAAACTGACCCCAAATCTACCCCCCAGGGGGGTGGGGGGGCTCCATCTAATTATAACAACAAAGTCCCGGCTGGGGATTAGCTCCCTCCACCCACAGCGAGTAGCCTGCGGCCCTATTAGAAATGCAGCAGAGTTCCTACAGGGAAATGAGTGCACCGGCTGCATTAGCGAGGGGGGGCAGGCGAGCAGGGGGCAGACTGGCAAGGGGCAGCGGGCGGAGCGAGCGCCGGCCCGTTTCCAAAGCACGGCTCAGTCATGAATGTTTCCAAAGCGGGAGGGGTGCAGGGGAGTCTGGCGTCCTTTGGATGTGGGACCCTGCCCCCCCGATCCAGCCCACGCACCCTTCCCCGCTCTGAGCTGTGGCTTCTGCCCGCGGCCCCTGTCACAACATCAAGTCCCCCAGGGAGCAAGGTGGGAGGAAGCTGCGTGAGGGTGGGAGGAGATTTCGAGCGGGTGGTCGCTTTGGGGGTGAGCCAGGCCCCCAGGAACGCAAAGGGGCTGGTCAGGACCAGGTTGGTGGTAACAGATGCTGGGCTAGATTCTCACAGGCAAGCCTGCTGCTGCTCAATCCTGACCTGCAGCCCCCCAGCCCTGGGCTCCCCCCACCCGCTCTACTGCTGCCCCTCAATCCTGACCCCCAGCACTGCTGCTGCTCCTCACCCCCTGCTGTTCCAGTCTGAGCAGATGGCATCGGCTGAATGCCCAACGAATACCAGTTAGCGCCTGTGGTGTGCTTTTTATCCCTAGATCTCAAAGATGGGGGAAACTGAGGCACAAGGCTGGGAAGAAACTTGCCATGGGTCACCCAGCAGGCCAGAGCGAGGAATCAAACCCAGGTCTCTCGAGCACCGGCTCAGTGTTCTGTCCACTGGGCTGCACTGCCTCGGGGCTGCCCCGACGCCCGCTCTGCCCCCCTGGCCCCGGGGAGCAGAAAACAGCCTCAGCACAGTGCGCTCTGCCCCTGCACTGGAGACTGTCCCCCACCCCCTCCCGGGCCCCTTCATGCTGCCAAAGGGGGTGCTGAGAGGGTCTGGCACAGCAGGGGACCTGCCCCCTTCTTTGCCAGCGCATGGTCCCTTTCTTTGCCAATGGACGGATTTCTTACTGGGAAGGATCAAGGGGTCTCTTGTCCCCAGCTGATCTTTTCCAGTTCTCACACCAGCCTCGGGATTTTTGCAAAGGGCAAGAGCTGGAGATGGAGCCCCCCTGCTCCCCCCGGCTAAAACAGGGGCGGAATGCGTCCAGATCCTGGGGACTTTCTGCACCTTGGGGACCCCCGGAGTAGGAAAACAGGGCTGGGGAAATGGGTGGCTAGTCTGCTCCTCGGCACAAGGGAAAAGTCCACCTGTGGGAACACAAGGGTCCCACCCGCATGTGCCTTCAGCACTCTGAATCCCGGCGGGTGTGTCACATACATGCAGGGAGGGGCAGCTGTGTGAGGCTGAGCGGTGTGCATTCGTGTGTGTGTGGGGGGGGCCGAGGCCCTACCTGTCTGCAATCCTCCATGTGCGTTGCATGCATGTGGAGGGGGGAGGGTGCATGGCCCTGGCTGTTAACACACATGCTGACATGTAAAGTGCTTGCCTGGAGGGGTCCCCGTGTCTGTCTGGGGGTGCACAGTGGACGACTGCACGTTCGTAGCTGAGGGGCGTGCGTCGGTCCGGGTCTATAACGGCTGCACGCATCCGTGGGCGCACGAGTGGCATGTCACGGCCGTTCCTGCGTGTCTGTGCACATGCCCGCATTAGTGCCGGAGAGGAAAGACCCCCTTTCCCTTGCCTCTGAGCCTGGCAGTCCCCTCCTAACCTGGATCAGAGCCTCCCAGAGGGGAAAAGGCCTTGTATCCCACCGGATGGCCGGACTCGCCCCCAGAGTGCCAGGAGATCCCACCGCATCCTCTGTTTTGGGATGCACGCGCACCGGGACGCAGCTGCATCTCCAAGTGCTCGGCTGGGGCGAGGATTGGCCAGAGCCGCGCTGAGCACCTGCAGTCCCCATCCAGTGCTCGCAGAGCCCCGAGAGGCCAGCTGGGCCCACTGCCGCCAGCCAGAGAAACATCCCCGCCGCTCGGGGTGAGCCGCTTGCAAAACCTTGGAGCCAGGTTCTGGGGTCGCATGTCTCCTGTTAGCAGCATGGCCTAGCGCGTACAGGGCTGGTCTGGGAAGCAGGACACCAGGGTTATGTTCCCAGCTCTGCGGTGACACCGTGGGCAACTTCCCCGCTCTGTGCCTCGTTTGTCCTCCCACCCCTTGTCTCTGGAGCCTGGGAGCTCTTTGGAGCAAGGCTCGTCTTTCACAGTGTATCCGCACAGCACGACGAAGGACCCCCCAGACCTCGTGTCTAAAGCAGGTGTCTGGACTCCCACCTGGTCAGAGAGGCTGGCGCAGGACCCCGTGAAGTCCTCCAGGTCGGATTTGGAGCCCCCGTCCCGGTCGTCGATCACCAGGTCGATGGGCATCTTCCCCTTCAGGCAGGTGATGTAGCGGTGGCAGAAATTGTCGCACAGGTCGTGTACCTGCTCCCCAGAAAGGAGGAACGTTAAGAGGCGCGAGCCCAGGTGGCTGGGCCACAACCCAGTTGGGCTCGGTGCTTTCCAGCCTCTCCCAGTCAGGCCTGCCCATCTGGCCCGGCGTCCCGTCTCCCCAGCCCTGAGCTGAGAGGAACCACCCGGGGGGCCTGACTCTTTGATGCTTTAGCCCGGTTGGCCCTGGCAGAGAAGATCTAGACAAGTCCCGTAGGGACAGAGGGCTGGCCGGCCGGGATCAGCAGTCAGGGGCCATCTCCAGCGTCTGACAGCGACAGGTGCCACCAGATCCTTCAGAGGAAGGGGGAGAAGCCCACCGCGGCAAATGTGGGGGATAAGATCCCCCCCGCCTTGTGTTAGCTCTGCTCCTGGGCCCTCCTCCTCCGAGATCAGCTAGACTCCGGAAGGAGGAGAGGGGTTTTTTTTTTTTTTCTGTGGGGTTTTTTGGTGTGTGTTAGGTGTATTACGGTAGCCCCAGGACCTCCGGGTGCTCGGCCCTGTCCGGTCTAGCCCGGCGTGCTAGGGGCTGCACAAACACTGAGCTGAAGACCATCCCCGCCTTGGAGAGCCTCCGGTCGAAGAGACAGGAAGTGGAGACGGACAGAGGTTGGGCAGGGCCGGGCAGGTGTGATGGGGAGCGGGGCGTCTCGAGCGGGGGGGGGGGGGGGTCCTGTCTCTGCAGAGCCGGGCACAATGGGAACCCCATCTCGGTTGCGGGAGGGGGGGGGGGGAGGTATCTAGGTGTTACCATAATACACCTCCTAGTGAGAAGACCGGAGCCCCATCTGCCCCAGTCCAGGACCCCTCCTGGTGTATTTGTGGCGGGTGTTGTGGGTCCCTCCTCTGCCTTTCCTCTCTCCCGGCCTTTGGCTCTGAAAAGCCCCAGCTCCCGGCTTCCCCTTTCTTCCCTGCCCTTGGCAGAAGCACTTCGCCCCCCCCACCGCGCCCACAACCCCCTTTTATCAGCTGCCAGCAGGCGCCCGCTGTGGCGCTCAAAGGGTTAATTACTCCATTAACAAGGGGATTATCGAGTTAAAAACCGTGAGGGCGATTGTAGCTCTAATGAGCTCATTAACCTGGCAAGCCGCTTGGCCTGGGCTCTGGGACCCCCCCATCCCTCCCCCTCCGCGATTGCATCATGCCTGGAATTCACCAGACCCGCCGCCTGGGGAGGGGAACGGGCCAGATCCGCCCCTCCGCGCCAGCCGGGGATCTGGCCCGCGGACCCCCACGGAGCCACGGCTGGTCGCCACGTGCTGGAGGTCTCTCGCCAGTCACGTTTTGATTTCAACCCGCACAAACGCTGGACTGACAAATCAGCGGGGCCTGACTCTGATCTTGCTCATTCCTCCTTCAGTGGCATTACTCCCCATTTACACCAGGGTATGACTGGGGAGAATCCGGCTCACCGATTGAAACCACACCTCCTGCACCACGGTTAACAGCTCTCTCTACAGCCGGCTGGGCTAAGCTAGCCCAGTTGACTCCTGCTTTACACCAGGGAAAGGGGCAGAGGGTCTGGCTCACTAACATCTCAATGGGTGAAGTCCACAGGGCCCGATTCTGATCTCACTCCCTGTGTCAATTCCACCAGAGCCATGTGCCGATTCGGAATTCGGCTCTTGGAATAACTCCACTGACTTGCAGGGCTCCGAGTCCTGACTGATTCCAGTTTAACTAAAATCAGAATCTGACCCTCTAGCCCTGTGGTGGCAGATTATTACCGCAGTACGTTAAATCGATTTCAAACCGTTTCAATGGCGTGTGTGTTAGTGGTTGGAACTGGCGCAATTAGATGTTGACGGGGCAAGATTTCTAATTCAGACTGGCCCTTAAGCTGCTGGAGAAGAGAACTGGCAAATTCTGACGTGATGCCAGCAGAATTCAGTTGTCATCCACCCACCTGGGCAGGTCTCCTCCCACAACACCACTCCTCTCTGGAGCAGAGTTTATACCGGGGCAAAATCTGAGCGCAGACTAGGCCTCAGACATCCTGGTCTTTCACTTGCATGACGTTCCACCCAAATGCAAAGTTTATCCCGATCTCAAGAAATGTCCCCCTGGCTTCTCCGTAAATCAAAACCAGCCACCATATGGGCCCGTTCGTAGGGGCATCATTTGCTTACCCCTGGATGGGTCACTTGGAAAGCGTTTGGTCTAACTCCAGGCATCATCTGTATTTTGTTCAGACTCCAGCCCCTATGCAGTTGGCTCCACTATCCTTGATTTTAAAGGAGCTACGTTGATTGACACTAGGGGAAGGTCTGCCCCTGGTTTTTGTTGTTGTTTTTTTTTTTTTTTTTCATAAAAAGATAAACCTCTACATGTCTCTTTAACAGCACGGAGCTGCGGTGGAGGCCTGGAACACCCTGGTTTCATTACTTTAACAATGACACATGCTACGCAGGGCTTTGGCTACTGGAGACTAAAGTATTGCCAGAACTAGCTGCAGCTACCGTGAATTAACAGAGTCCATTTTACAAAGCAGCCGCACCTAGGGAGGGCGGCTCAGCGGTTAGAGCCCTCGTCTGGGTCTCGGGCGGCCTGGGTTTAGTTCCCATCTCTCCTACAGATTCCTTGTGTGATCTTGTGGAAAATCACTTCCAAGGTATTTAGGTGCCTAATTCCCATTAACATCTAGGTGCCTAAACACCTTGGAGGATCTAACCTGTCAGTTTCTCTGTGCCTCAGTTCCACCTCTGTGATAACAGCTCCACTCTATGTTCCCAGGGAGGGTAAATACATGGAAGATTGGGACATGCCCAGAGGCTATGGTGATAGGCACCATAGATAGATTGATTGCTTTAAAAAAAAAAAAAATGGAGAGATTCCATGTCCCTTTATCACCATTTCTACAAGAACTCTGCCCCTGACTGTACTGATTAGCACCCGCTAGGGATCCAGTCCACTGAGGGGTATTGAAGTCAAAGTCTACCTAGGTGCTTAAAGGTAAGCGAGGCCCTTAAGCCCATGCTTACTGCCAAGCGGGTGTTTAATTCTATCCTTATTCTGCAAAGCATAAAGCCGAGTTCAAGGGGATCTGGATTGGGTCTGTCCTGTTTAAATCCCCAGTCGTACAAACACACATGCATGGGATTCACCTTATTCACCAGAGCAGCACGTCTATTGTAAATCAGTAATTTATTATTTGTAGTACCAGAGCGCCTAGCAGCTACAGCTCTCCCAATAACCAATTTGGAGGGGGGGGGGGGGCCTTACTGGCAGTTCAAAAAACAATGTTTCTTTAATAGTTTTGTGTTGACCAGAAAACAAAATTTCTTGGAACTTTTAGCGAATCTAAAAGCTTAAAAAAACCAACCCAAAACAATTTGTTTGGATTTTAGACATTTTAAAACTATAAAAATAAATCAAAGGAAAGGAAAATTCCAACAGAAATGTTGTTCCAACCCAAACGCTCAAAACTCGCATCTGAAAATGTCAAATCAAAACACGGATTTTCTTTTTTCCCAACCTAAACAACCCTCGGAAATCGCCCTGCCGTCACGAAATGTTTTAAGTCTGCTTCTTTTGGAGAACAAACTTTCAGCTGCAAAATTTTGCTCAGTTCTAGCTAGGGTCCCCAGTCGGGGATCAGGGCCCCGTTGTGCTGGACTGTGGGTGCTGTAGATTTTTATGACTATTAGGTGTGTTACAGGAGCCCGAGGGAGCACCGCTGCCCCGCCTCCACCATGCATTAGAACCCCATTGTGCCAGGAGCTGTACAAATGCAGAACAAAATGACAGTCCCTGCTTAGAGCTGGGCAAAAAAAAAGATGGCAAATAGTAAATTTGGGTCGCATTCGGGGAATAGTTTTATCAGGGGAAAAATAAAATTTGGAACAAGTCGAAACGGTTTGTTTAAGATTTGGCCAAAACATTTCATTTATATATTTTTTTTTCTTTTTTTTTAAGCATGTTCATTTATTTTCTCTTCTCTCTCATGCCTGGCCTCTACTCTCAACCTGCCCCCCTCTCCCCGCCTCGCCGTATGAAAAATTAAACCTTCGAGGGCCATTGCATCAGTGAAACAGGATAATAATCCCAAAGCCGAAATTCAGCCCCACGTGGGTTTAAAACCGTTTTATTTGGCCACTTAACAGCTGCACGTGGGGCTTAGTTACAGGCCATCCAGCTTTCACCACGTCAAGCGACCCGGCTTCGTTTTGAAAACATAAATTAGACAGGTTTTGGCTTTCGCAGGACTTTCTCCTCACTCAAATTATTTGGTTGGAGGTTCATTTCTGCTGTCGTCACGTGAAACCTCAGATCCATCATCAAAGCAGCTGCAAACGGGCACAAATAAGTTGCACCGTATTTAACTAAATGGTCCTTGTGATGTTTGCAATGGCTTCAGTTGGGAGAAAAAAATATGGCCTGAGTGTAGATTGGGGCCAGCCCCCCCCCGTGTAAAACAGTGTGGCTCTATTGAGGTCAATGGGCTCAATTCCCCACTGGTGTAAACTGGCAGAACTCCCTTAAAATCAAGGGGACCGATCTCTAGCTGGTGCAAATCAGTACTGCTCTATTTGAAACCAATGGAGCTGGGCCCATTTGGATCAGCTGAGGGTGTGGCCTACAAGGGCTCCTTTTAGAGGGTTTCTTCTTGCTTTGTAATAAAACCGTTTAACAATAATGACGCTCCAAACCCGCGCTGGTGAGGGGGAAGGGAGTGTCGATTTACCTTTTCTAATTCCAAGAGATGGAATCGCAGCACCTGGATTGACTGAATCATCTGTAACAAGAACACAAAGGGAAATCCGTTTGAGGCAGCCGTATCTGCATCTCCCATAAGGGGCCGGAGCGGCATCAAGGGGCCAAAGCATAAACCAAACTCATGGTTTATTTCATTTGGTGGCCAGATTATACCCAAATATTCACTTGGATGGAGCCTTTAACTTTCCACATGTCTCCCTTCATGTGAAACTTAACGAGTCTGATTCTCCGCGGCTCGGGGCACAGGCATTTAGACCAGCACACTCCAGTGTGATGTGAGTGAGACTCATTGGGCTCCAGTGTAAACGTCCAAAACGACAGAGAACAAGGCCTAATAAACCAGTTACTCGTGAGGGTCTTAAAAGCCTTTCTAAGGGCCGATTCCATCGGTGTGACTCCAGTGGGCCACATCCTGAGCTGCTGTTACTCAGCATCGCTTCAAATAGCTGAGGTGGTGAATAAGGCCTGGCTTTTGAAAGGCTGCAGCACCTCGGTTGCATTTCCAAGATGGATTTAGCAGCCTATGTCCCGTTTGAAAACGACCTGGCTGTTGCAACGTGGAGCATGGCAACACCAACGCCCCTTTAAAAATCTGGACCTGTATTCTTAGATGTGGGAAACTGATGAATTCCCCCCATGCAACATCTTGAGCCTCTGGTCCTGCTAAGACGTCACACACGTGTAACTTTGGGTGCACTGACTAAGTTCCAGTACGAGTCCTTATTGAGGGAAGCACTTAAACTCAGCGTTGAGTACATGTTTCCGTCTCTCAGGTACGTGCTCAAAGGCCCAGGCCGAATAGGAATGCAAGCTTGAATAGAGGCTGAGTGGAATCGGATCACTCCCAGGACATAGCTTTGGAGAACTGGAGACACGTTTAAATGAAGATGAGTAGCCGCCAAGGGGAAAATGAAAGAAAAACAACCCAAAGCCGACCGGACCAGCAGAAACGCCATTTAAAAAACAAAAAGAAATGATTATTTGCATTGTACACGGAATTATAGATTTTTTTTTTTTAAGTTTCTTACCAAATTATCCAGCTCAGGATTGGAAGAAAATAAAGGTTTTTCTGTCCTAATCTAGAAAGAGAAAGACATGGGCAATCCAGCACAAATAAAACACAGAGAGGCAAAAGGTTAGCACGATTTAAAAAAAAGTCTGTTTTTCTCATTTCCCCAGAACATAAAAAGAGAGAGAGCGAAAGAAATCTCTCTTTCCCCAGAGCTTCCATGACATACCCACATGCGTATATTTCACTCTAGGCTCTGCCCTGTGGATGTATTTTAAAATATTCCCACCCCTGCTGCGGCCCAGCCCCTCCTATGCAAGATCAGATTTCACCCCTGTCTCCTTTTTAAAAGTCCTTCCAAGCAAGCATTGCTCTCTCTCGCTCTCTCGCTCTCTCTCATTTTTAAGCACGATGCAGCCTCGTGTACGCTCTCAGCCTGTCCAGGACATGTCTATAAACGCAGGATCAACACAAGGGTTTTTGTTTTGTTTTGTTTTTTTGGCAATGATTGAGATAGCAGCTGGGCCTGATTTGCAGAGTCTAATTCAGCGCTGGGTCTTCCAAGTAGTTCCCCGAATTGAGCCACTGATCAGTCGATTTTACCCAGGGGGTAACACTAGAGCGAGTCGGGCCCCAGCGTTGGCACGGCTTCCCCTGCGTTCCTCTGGCCTTAGGTTTCTCCTGCTTTGCTCCCCGCAGACTTGCCCCCCGCCGGCTCCAGACACTGACCTGCTTGGCAAAGACGGCTATGTCCTCGTTGAAGGAATCGGAGGAGCAGACGTCTCCACCGGGGTAAGAGCCCGAGGTATCCCTGGGGGAGCAGGTGGCCAGCTCACACTTCTCAAAGACCAGGGCCAGCAAGGGGAACAAGGGGTGCCTGCGAGACAGAGGCGAGGTTAGAGGCGGACACGGGGGGTGCAAGGCACACGCATTATGCAATCCAGACACCCCGCTGATCAGTGCCGGAACAAGGTTAGAGAAGGCCCTGGGGCAAGGCTACGTTAGCCCGGGTAGCCCCGCCAGCTGCATCCGCCCCTGCTCACGGAGGGAGGCAGGAGAGGTCCCGAAATCTGCCTCTTCCCCTGAAATCTGCTGCCGTATAGGTAGGGCCCCATAACCTGACGGCTCTGCCTCGCTTGCACCATTGCAGCTCGGCCACTGCAACGGCTTGCATGCATGTGCACAAATGCCGCACCGCATCCATGCCATGCAAATGTGTACCCGGCCCATGTGTACACACACACACACACACACACACACACACACACGAGTGTGCAATACTCGTACACCACCTGCACCCCGCTGTACAAATATAAACACGCACACGCACGCAGTAGTCAGTCGTGCCCACGGATCCATTCGGTGCGGTCCATAAACCAAACTACGCACACGCCTATGTTCTATAACGCATGCGCACGTTGTATGCAGTGTAATTTGTAGCCCTGTCAGTCTCAGGATATTAGAGAGACAAGGTGGGGGAGGTAATACCTTGTATTGAAACAACTTCAGTTGGAGAGAGGGACGAGCTTTTTCGGCTTACGCAGAACTCTTCCTCGGGTCTGGGCAATATTCAGAGCTACCCTCCCCTCGTTGTCCTAGGACTGCGGAGGTGTTAAAGGGCCACGCTCTACCTTGAGCGCTAACTACTTCCACTAACCAACCTGTTCCACCTCGCTGCGATGCTCGGAGGACCTTTCCCAGACCCGAAGACAGCTCGTGTCTCTCATCCACAGAAGTTGGTCCAATAAAAGCTATTCGCTCCCCGGCCTTGTCTCTCGAACCCACCCAGGGTGTAATATGCGCAGTGGCCATGGGTGAGCATCCCCGCGCTCGCAGCGTAGGACACATGCTGGGGAATAAAAGACTCTGTCACGCAGAAGCATGCACAATATGCAACACACGTGCTATACGCCATCTACACACAAGTGGAGACGCACCCACAGCGTATCACACAGACGGAGTAGCCTCTAGACAAGCCCCCCTGCTGTTCACATACCCATGGGGTGCAATGGATTATCTCTGCGCCATATTGTGCAGAAGTGAGCAGACAAAGGCTATAAATACTAACCCTGTAGGTGACTGTTACATAAGTGCACGCTTTCCAAGGACAGTTATATACAGACTGGAACGGCATTAGTGTATACACACACAGAGCAAATACGCAAACAGAGGGCCACAATCCATGTGTGGAGACGGATATAGACAGACACAGGGCATATAATTAGGCTGGGCAAAATTAGATTTTTATTTTTTAATAATTTCAAGGTTTATTTTTAAGCATTTTCCCCCGTTCCTGTTTATTTTAAATTGTCACAGTTGTGGGAATTGTGGGGGGCATCCGGCAATCACTAGTTTATGACAGTCGACGCTGAGATTCAAAAAGCTTTATAATCATGAAAAGGCAAACCGTCCGTCCCATGTCAAAATAGCCCAAGTAAAGAAACTCTAAGCAGTTCACAAGCTGCATTTGCACTTTGCTAAGCTGTAAATTTCAGTTTTTATCGATGGAAATATTTTGTTGGCCCATGCAGTGCCATCACCGTTTTCTGATGAAATATTGAATCCTTCCAAACCTAAATATAATTCATATAGTGAATATATAGTACGTGACTATTGTATGTAGCATATGTAGCCCTGTGGTAGGAATTGTAGGCACTGGTGCATAATACACAGAGTGACGTTACTGGTGGGTACAGACGCAGTGTGCATAATACACAAGACAGCATTATTATAGACACAAATCAGCCGTCAAGAATTATGTCATTCCAAAGCCAGTCGGAGAACACGTCAATCTCTTCGGTCACTCAATTACAGACCGAAAAGTGGCAATTCTTCAACAAAAAAACTTCAAAAACAGACTCCCAAGGAGAGACTGCTGAATTGGAATTAATTTGCAAACGGGATACAATTAACTTCAGCTTGAATAGAGAGTGGGAGTGGATGGGTCATTACACAAAGTAAAACTATTTCCCCATGTTTACCCCCCCCCCCACTGTTCCTCAGATGTTCTTGTCAACTGCTGGAAATGGCCCACCTTGATTATCACTACAAAATGTCCCCTGTCCCCCCCGCGCTGTCCTGCTGGTAATAGCTCACCTTACCTGGTCACTCTCCTTACAGTGTGTATGGTAACACCCGTTGTTTCATGTTCCCTGTGTATATAAATCTCCCCCCTGTATTTTCCACTGCATGCATCCAATGCAGTGAGCTCACGAAAGCTTATGCTCAAGTAAATGGGTTGGTCTCTAAGGTGCCCCAAGTCCTCCTGTTCTTTTTGCGGATACAGACTAACCCGGCTGCTGCTCTGAAACCTGTCCTTATTACTGTGTGTGTATGTACACAAATATTACACACAGACACAAGGGAGAGCACTGTTACTGTGCACACACACAGCAGATATAATATACATGCGCATTAATGGAGCTGGGGGAAGAACAGATTTGTCTCAGTCCCTGGGCAGCTTTTAAAAGTGTGTTTGGGAGGGAATCATTTAGAGCCAAAGGTTTTGTTGAAATAAAATTGAAAAGTTGTTCTGACCGTTTTAAAACAGTGTTTGGAATTTAAAAAGAGAATCAAGGAAATTTTGAAACAGAAAGTTGTTGGAAACCACAAAATACAAAACGGTTTGGTGTGGAAAATGCCACATGCACAAGGGGGAACGTTATGAGGGCGTGTACACACGGCTAGGGGATGACCTAGTGCATGTGCACGCACACATGGAGTGTGACATTTAAAGTGTGTACATACACACACACTCTTTACACACTACACGTGCATAGACAGAATTTTAACCTGCATGCATCATTCGGACACGCACACCCCTTAACTGTGTGATATGCCCGGTGCTACCAGTCAAAGGCACCCTGATTTCCTTCCTTGATGGGCCATCGCCCATTAGTGTAGCTGGACTGTGGTGCCTTTCTGGATCAGAATTGGCACCACTTCAGAGAGAGGGGAGAGAGCTGCTATAGAGAAGACACTGGATTGAGCTGGCAACACTCACTTGCTTGGGACCATTCTCTTAAGGGAGGAAGGTCCAGCCCTAGGGGGAGAGGGGGGCTCAGAGGAGGCGGAGGGAAGGGGTGGTTTGCGAATGGGAGAGGCGAGCTCTCTCCATTACTCTGTGTTCCTACAGCACCAGGCGCAAAGGGGACCCCGTTTCTATTGGTCCCTGGGCACCCACCATAATACGCCCAATACATTAATAATCGACATGTATGTAAAAAGCAGGGAGCAGGAGACTGGGAGTAGGAACCAGAGGGTTAGGGGAAGGGGGAAAGCATGGAAAGAAGGAAAGAAAATTAGAGGAGAAAGGGAAGGAGAAAAAGAGAAAGCAGAAAAATGAAGGGGGGGGAGGAAATACACAAAGCACATAAAATGTACATATTCTACACACGCTCCCTCTCTATACTCTGGATGCACTTTGCGTAGCACAGGGAGGTTCGTAATTCACAGGTATGCACAGAACCATACGTATTATATATATACACAGCCTGATACAGATGCATATAGAATGCGTCCGCACTCTACAGTATCGAAAGACTGAGAACGTGCACATGGTGAGTATTTCTACCCAGACAGTCCTGTATACTGCGTGTGCAAATATCATATGTAAATACCTCACGTGCCTGGGAATATTTGGGAGGTGTGTTTGCACTCTGCAGCAGTATATCCTGTGTACAGCAAGATGGCATACAGCTGTGCGGACAGGGGTTTGTGCGTATAGATGCACTGCAGTGTATAGGACTGATGCACACGCCTCACATAAGAAACGTCAAAACAGTGGGTGTGAGGATATCCGCATTGTACTCCGCGGGGTGCTTAAACACACAAACACATATATTGACGTGCCATGACATGCTCGCAAAACTGACATGCAAGCGGATTTTGAGGGTGAGTATATCTTTTATAACATGTTTGTGTGTGTTGGCATTATACCCCGCAGTGTGTTTCTACACACCCCCACACACCCCCGCCCAGCAGCATATAACGCTGCCCCACAAAACACATGCTAAAAGTTCTGTTCACACTCAGTCAATCCAATTCAGGCACAGTGTATAACACCTACTCCCACATTGGGTTGTGTTTACATGCATGGAAGATGCCAATCCAGATGTCACATTACAGCTCCTCCGTTAAATATGGTTCCAGACACACTATACACACTGCAGCCCTATGGTACGCTCTGCGTGTACGCGGACATGTACGCTCACTGATAGCGTCCCAGATTTATGCAGCCACGGCCAGATCCTCAGGTGGTGCAAACTGATCAGTGGCCATTAACTTCCCTGCAGCGACCCCCATCTGAGGATCGGGCCCATGCTATGAAATTTTGTTTATTTTCGAATTTAAAACTGCCACTCAACACAGCCACCACCCACACGTTGAAATGTGCGGTAAAGACGTGCATAGCAAGGCAGTGTCCTGTACACTGTGTGTACACACGGACGCACACAAGTCTGTATATACAGGCCCAGTGTACTACTGATGTGTGAACACACACACAGAGTGCGCAGATCATTTACACACTAGAGACAACGGCTACTTATGCAGGCATTTACACAAGTGCAGCGGGCGTGTAAAGAGGGCATACAGTGCTACCACTGGGCAATGCTTTGCTCTCACTTTACACTCATCTGAACAAACACACAAGCCAGCAGGGAACAGGGATTTGGGCCTAGAGAATTCCTGCCTGTCCAAAACAGTCTATACGCACAGATACAGTGTGCAACATTAATATACTTTGTGTGTGTATGATTAGTATACTTTGAGATGTGTACGATTAGTATACTTTGTGTGTACGACGTGTGAGAGAGGGATCTTGCTCACTGTGTGTATAAATATATATACACACAGAGCATGCCATGCATACATCCGCTGTGTAAATATATAGAGAGACACAGATACAAAACTATTCTATAGGTACATAGACACAGTGTACCACATTGTTACACACGTCACAATGTTACTGCACACACACACACACACACACACACACACACACACACACAGAATAACCGACAAATGAACAGCTAGCCATGTATGCACATACACACATCCTATACCCAGTGTGTAGCTAAAGATCCATACAGGCATTGTGTATGACACAGCATATTAAGGACAGATTTTTAAAGGTATTTAGGTGCCTAGATACCTTTAAAAGCACATATTTACACCGCATGTATAGCTAGAGATATACACTTGGTAGCTGTGTATATAGAATATACCCAAAATGTTGTCCACCCAGACATGCCGTGTTGGCAGTTCAATACTTTCCACTCGTGTAGCCCTGTTGGGCCCAGGATAGTAGCAAGACAAGGGCGGGGTGGGAATAGCTTTTGTTGGACCAACTTCTGTTGCAAGCTTTCCAGCTTACCCAGCGCTCATGCAGTATAACAGCTAAGGCAGCGAGTGTGTAATATATCGATTCTATCGCACTGTGGGTACAAAATGTCCCATAGACGCACAGGGTGCAGCCCTGATCACACTTCGTGGACACATGGACACATGCGTATGCCATATACACACGCTGATCAGGGACGGTCTAGGGCCGGGGCTCTCACTCTTCCCAGACAACTGTTCCCCGCTCAGGAGTCTGATTTGTCTTGCGTCCCCCCAAGATTCACCTCACTTAAAAGCGACTTGCTGACGAAATGAGACAGAAGCATGGAAAAGTGTCACCGCCGCACTGTTGCTGACGAGTGGCCGACTCTCTCATTTGTAGGATATAATTGTAAAACACATCAATCGGAATATCAATATTGCGCGGACATTTCCGTGTCCATGTACAGGCAAGTCACTGTCTGGATGGAATTTGAGTGGGCACTGACTTGGCTAGCGCTTTTTACGTATCCTGTTGTAAAGCCAGGCAAATCTCTAGACGAGCTGATGTACCCTCGGGAAGAGCTCTGCGTACCCCGGGGAAGAGCTCTGCACGCCCTCAGAGGTACGCATACCCCTGCCTGAGAACCACTGGGATAGGGTTACTTGGTCCCGTCTCAGCGCGGGGCCCTACATTCCTGTGATCGTTTATATATCCCCACTCGCACACATATATATCATACACACCCACACACAGCCAGATAGATCCACATAGGCCAGAGCAGCCTCTCTCTCTCTCTCCCTCTCCATCGAGACACACACTGTGCATTTCCAGCTCGCTGCACAAGTTCACACAGCATATGCTATGTAAATATTGGCAGCCAACATAAGCCATGTTATCTCCTCAGTGTGTCTCTCCCTCCTGGAACTTGAGAGCTGGCCTGTCAACCCAGCAGCCGAGCCGAGAGTCTCCACAGAGCCCACGAGTAAAAACAACAAATGGTTGCAAATTAAAAGCAGCCCCCACTCTGGCAAAGGGGGCGCGCACGTGGGGGGGGGGGAGAGGAGGGGGAATAGGGACATTTTATGCCTCTTGGGGCAGGAAAATAGTTTTGCTTCCCTGCTCCTAGAAATGTTCACATGGAGCCAGAAAAGCCAGGATTCGAAGAAAGCGGCTGGCAAACTTTGATGCCCCTTGTAGCACCTGGTCCCTATTCCTCCAATAGTGACTGCGAAATCTTTGGGGGTGGGGGGGGAAGGGGTCCTGGATGGGTTCTGTTCTTCCCAGTTTTCGGCTCTTTCTGTCCTCCACATTGGCTGCTGACCTTCTCCAGAAGGGAGCTATTTCTCCCTCTTTCCCTCCTGGGCTGTTGCCTTCTATTTCTCCTTTTGTTTTCTATCTTTCCCCCTTTCTCTTTCCTGTCTCTCTTCTCCCTTCCCCCTTCTGTTTCCCTCTTTCTATTTCCTCTCTCTTTCCCTCCCTCTCTCCTCCTTTCTGTCCCCTCTTTCTCCTCTGTGTTTTCTCTCTTTCTTTCCCTCTTTCTCTCCACCTTTCCCTTGTCTCCCTATAAATGCAGTGGGTCCATGTCTGACACCTCGGCATTTTTCACTTATTTACACCTTCCCAAGGGACAGGGTGGGTTTAGGTTTCAAGGAGGAGGCTGTGTTAAATAAAGGTGTATTTCATGTCCCCTCCTTCCCTTCCCTGGGTCTTTCCCTGTCTTGGATTTCTGGCCTCACCTGTAGAAAACCTCTGGACTTTCTGATGCAGCCTTTTCACCTGCCTGGAAAGGCACCCCTCTTCTCCAGCAATGACCCCCCACTTCTAGTCCTGAGCGCAAAATGCGACGGGGCTGGGACCTGACCGAAGGTCCATCATTTTGATGGCCCCAAATTGCAGAGCAATGAGAGACCAGGACACCAAAGTGCTCACACCAAGCCGAGAAAAACTTCCTCTCCCCGGGCCTTCAGAATCACCCCCCACTCCAGGGTCCCCCGAGCCACTTCTCTCTGCTCCCCTTGGAGCCAAACTTTGCGTCCTTTCTTATTGGATTCGTCCACACGCCCCGCTCCCTCACTCGGGAGCCCGATTTTAAAATGACAACCCGGCCTTTCCCTCTCATAGTGCCCTTTGTTTTGTCTGGGGTGGGTAAATCTCTCTCTCTCCTGGAAACTACCAGGATGACAGGCGGAGAGAGATTCCTCCTTGAAATACATGGTTAGAAACAAACAAATCCCCCCGAAACTGGATGGGGGAGAAAACAGACAGAAAACGGCTAGACAGACAGACAGCCCCGGTCCTGCTAGAAATTAGACTGATCCACGTTCAGAAATCTCGACCGCAAATTACCTACACCCCCCCCCCCTTGAAATAAAAGGGAGAGATGCAGATGGTCCCACCAGCGGTGAAACTGACCAGAGCCTACTGGACCCAGGGGTCCCCCGGTCATTAGATGGACAGCGCCCCGAATGAAGTGACAGCCTCCGAAACGTAGCCAAGCAGACAACGCCTAAGTCCAAATAAAACAGCTCCGAGGCTTTTCACTCGCACAAAACCCCCCGACACCTGGGCCAATCCTAGGGAGAACCCCCCCTCTCTGGGAGTCCCCCTCCCTTTCCAGAGCCCAGCCCCGGCTCCTTACCCGTAGATCTCATCCTTCTCCCTCTTCAAGGCGTCGGTATTCCCCAGCCCCGGGGGCATGCCTGCCCGGTGGGCTACCCCGGCCGGTCCATACGGCGAGCTCTGGCTCAGCGGGTGGTGCTGCAAACTCCGACCCGAGTGAGGGTCCCCGAAGCCTGGCAAAGCGACTCCATCCATGGCAGGGTAATGCACCAGGTCATCGTACTGCAAGGCACATGGACAACAAGGGGGGGTGAGCCAGGGGGGCCGCCCGCCGGCCGAGTCCCCTCTCCCCCCCCCCCCGCCCCCGGGCCGTGAAGGCACAGGGGAAGAGGGGGAGGAATTTTTGCACCCAAAACATCCCTACGCAAGCTCAGATCCGGGGAGCTGGAGAAGTAATTTTTGCCCAGATCTCCTCCGAGGCACAATCGGGCCCGGACGAGTTATTCTGCCCACGACAGGCGTCCCCTAACGAAAACCGAGGCATGTGCGTTGGTTTCGTAAAGAAGCGGGGTTGATCTGCTCTGTATTGGGGGGCGAGAAGCGGAGAAATAGAAACCCTTCCTCACAAGGCTGGTGAATTGCATTGATTTGATTTCCAGCTTAAAATAAAAATCAATGCCGCTCTTTACCGACCCCCTTTGCCATCTAAACATTCTTTTCGGGGTAATTAGTTCCTGGCCGGCGACCTTGTTAATTTAACTCCGGCACCTCGGCGGCTTTCACGACCCGCTGCTGCAAACCGTGTCACTTTCACGCCACCAAACGGTGCGGCCAGTTTCAGCCCAGCCCAGTCGCGGATCCGAATACTGATCCTCTCGCCCTGGCTGGGAAGTCCCCCCCCGCCCCCCAATCTCCCACCTTCTCGCCTTTAAAAAAAGTTTCTAACGTTGAGGCGATGGATCGTCTTATTTTCGTGCAAACGTCGCCTTTACCACGCTGTTTGGCCCCTGGGGTTGCTTTAAAACGCGTTTTCAGCCTATTGTCGAGGAGGGAATCTGAGGTTTAAAATATGAACGCGCTCCTGAGTTCCCAGCGTCTTGCTTGAAAATCTTCCCTCCTTGGTTCCTTGTAAATAAACTTTTAAATCCTCCATTTGCCCGTCCCTTAGATGTCGGTCTCTAACTAGCAATAGAAAGAGACTCTCGATCTCTCTTTTAAAAACACTGAACTCTGTGAACTGAGGAATAATTTATTCAACAGGCTTTCCACCTTTTACCTGAACCAGACCTTTTAAAGGGGGGGGGGGGAGGGAGGACTGTGAAATTATTCCAACGTGACAGCTATTCTGATTTAAATATTGCCAACTTTAGTCCTCAAGCCTGTCCAGCCAAAAGCCATTTTAATTCTCCATTAGCCGTTTGGAGGTTGTTTGACGCTGGAGTGAGTTGAGGGGGGAATATTTATACAACCAAAGGCTTCGATTTTTACGAGCAGGAGGGAAACTCTGGTGGAAACACGGGGGTCACTTTCTTTTTAAAATCTAACTAGACATGCTGCGTACTCTGCAAAGCCGATCGGAGTTTTATTTGCCCCTTTTAAACCAGTCGTTTACCTCTGTTTTCGCTCCCAGAGCCCATCCTGGAGCTGTCGCGTAATAATGCGGCTCGTGCCTCGTTTTACTCCACTTTGTCTCCCCAGACTTCCAGGGCATTTTCAAAGCGCCCCGGCCTTCCCCAGCCCCGTCTCCCCCGCTCCTTTTGAATGACAAACTTTTCTCTTACGCCTGGAAACTTAACTCGCGCAGGGTGTAGAAAATACGGCTGGATGATGACTGGTCTTTCCCCCCAAGTCTTGAGGAAGTGACTCGGGGTTTTTTTAACGTTGGCATTAACACCCCCCCCCCCTGCTTTTAGCAGGATAGGGTTAGTTTGTATTTTAACAGCTGTGCGGATATTTTAGGGTCGCTAATAAGATAGAGGCCGGGCCGTTTAGGATGTCTGCGTCAGATCCTGAGAAAGCTCACAGCAACATCGAAATGTGATTTCAAAATCGGAGGAAAATCTTTCAGGAACCGTTGGCTACATTTCTAACAACCGGGCGGGCTCTGAGGGCCGCAGCTTCTGCCCCTGAGATCAGAGTCGAAACTAAGTTGTAAAAACGTCAGAAACGAAGCACAAAGGACCCCCGATTAAATGGAAACCTAATAAAGCCCCGAAACGAGCAACCGCGGCGTTCCCAGCCCCGCCGAGAGTGGAGAAAGTCAGGACACGCCGGGGGGGAAACACAGCCAAGGCAGGAGCCCTGTGCAGAATCACAACCCATCTACGGATTGTATCGACACACACCCCTTCATCGCCCGGCTCCCCCCGGCCGGGACAGGGGAGGCAGCGAAGCGAGCAGCTGGGACAGGAAACGGAGCAACGCTGGGAGACAACACAAAGCGCCTTCCGAGACCCCCCCTTTTTTATTTTAAAGAAAAAGTTAAGTGTAAACATCTCCCCCCCCCCGAACCCCGGAAAAAAACACACACCCCATCTGGCACTTGCAGAGCAAGCCCGGCAGCGGGGAAGAGAGGGACCTGGGTGCCGAGCGAAGTGCGGAGGAAGGAGAGAGACCAGGACGAGAAATGATCCCCCCCTCTCCCCCCCCCCCCACGGATACACACGGCTGCCTCCATCCGCCCCGCTCATCCACACACAACCCGGGCTCTCTCTTGTTGGAAGAAGGAGCGGGGGGGGGCGGTAGCGATTCAGAGCAAACCCCCCCCCCCACACACCCCCTTTTCAAATCCCAGATCCCCTTCCGAAAGCCCCTCGCCAAACGCATCCGTCGGCCGGGCCGAGACGCGCCTCCCGCGGCCCGGGGGGACTCGGACCTACCCTTTGTGCCATTGGGTGCCCGGCGGTTCCGTCCAAGTCCGGGTCCTGCTTCCTCGCGCTCTCGCTCGCAAGTGGGCTGCGTATGGGGGGCGAGGATCCGGGATCCCCCCCCACCCCCGCCCCCCACCCCAGGCTCTGGGTCCAAAGCGCTGCAAACAATTCAGGGCTCCGGGTGGGGGGTGGGGGTCTCCTCCTCCCTGGCTTGGTTAACCCTGATTCAGTGCTGGCCAGAGAACTAATGCAAAGAGGGAACGCATTGGTGGATGGGGGGGTGGGGGTGGGGGTCCTGGAGAAAGCGGGGGGGGGGCGGGGGGTTGCAGTCAATTTCTCTCTCTCTCTCTTTCTCCCCAGCAGTCCTTTTGGCTGTCTCAGCTGCCCGTCAAGTATTCAGAGCTGTCAAAGGCGGAATGACTGATGATCCTTTAAAAAAACCAAAACAACCCACCCTGGTGCTGGGCTGAGGAAGGGGGGGGGGATGGGGGGGTGAAGGAGCAAACACCCCCTCCCAAAGCACTCTGCTGCTTTCCTTCCCCTTCCCAAAGCAGGGGGAGCCCCCCTTCCCACCCCTCCCTCCCCCAGACCTCTGCCCAGAGAAGATTTCTTGCCTTCCAATTTCGGGGGGGCTCCTGGGGGGAAAGCTGGAAGAGGGGTGGGGTGGGGGGGGACAGATCTCTACAGCCCCCACCCCCTTCAAGAGATCAGGGCCCCCCCCACCCCAAAAAGCTCCAGCGCACAGGAGAGGGGGGGCCGGGCTGGGCTCGGTGGCAGGTTCCCGTCTCCCGGCTCGCTCGGCTTCCTCCCCGGGCTGCGGCAGCGGGGGACGGTCCCGGGGCCGGGGCTCGCCGAGGAGGAGGAGGAGGAGGAGGAGGAGGAAGAAAGATGCTCTGTCTGCCCAGCCCCGGGAGCTGTGAGCACATCCGGAAGTGGAAGGGGCTTTTTCTTTAACCCCTGCCTGGCTCGCCGGCTCGGAGGCGGATCCCCCCCGCCCGGCTCCTCTTCCTCCTCCTCCTCTTCTTCCTCCTCTTCTTCCTCCTCCCCACATGCCGATCTCTCGCTCCCCGCCTGCTGCTGCACCGGCCGGGCCCCGATCCAGCCCCATCCCCGGCTCCCACGGGTGTCTGTCTGGCCCCATATCTCCCCTCCCCCCCATCTCCTGCTCCCTGGGGTGTCTGTCTGGCTCCACATCCCCCCAGTCTCTGGCTCCCACGGGTGTCTGTCTGTCTGTCCCCTCCCTCCCCGTATCCCTCCACTCCCCCCACCCAGTTCCCACAGGTGTCTGTTGGTCTGTCTGTCCCCATATCCCCCCCCACCCCCGGTTCCCACGGGTGTCTGTCTGTCCTCTCCCTCCCCATTCCCCCCCCCCAACTCTGGCTCCCACTGGTGTCTCTGTCCCTTCCCTCCCTATATCCCCTCCCATCTCCAGCTCCCATGAGTGTCTGTCTGTCTGTCCCCTCCCTGTACTCCCTCCCCCCCCCGGCTCTGGCTCCCACTGGTGTCTGTCTGTCCCCCCATTCTAGCTCCCACTGCTGTCTGTTTCCCCGTCCCTCAGTCCACCTGATCTGCTGTCACCCCCCCCGCCCACATTTCAATCCATCTCACCCCCACTTTATATGGGCCTCTTCCCCCTCCCCCCAGTCTGTGTGTCTGAAGCATTGTACTGACCCCTAGCTCAAGGGCTGTCCTGGGCCAACAGGCCCCGCACTGCCAGCATCCGGGGAGGAAGGAGGGAAGAGTTTACAGATGATTTAAACACTTCACCCTTCTGATTATTCTGTATGTACTATTTACAGAGACACCCGCTTTTCCTTCCAACTGGAGATCACCTGGAGCAGAATGGTTTGCAGTTACCACCAGAAGCTGGGGAAAGTGGCCCGGACGTTGCTGTATTTTTATTATTATTAATAATTCCATTGAGTTCATTAACGTCTGTGTCCTGCTGTCTTCTCAGGGGCTGGGCTGCTGTTTTCCCTCCACTGTCTCCAAAACCTTGGGGGCAGCGTGGACACGGTTATTTCCAGCTGCCTTACAGCAAATTTCAGGCCTTGCTCAAGTTGTGAAGGGGCAAATTCCCCTCGTGTGGGTACAGTCCCACCGGGATACATGTGCGGTGGAGCGGAGGAAGGGGACTATGCTGTAATGCTCTGCCAGGACCTCGCTGCTTTCATCCACAGATCTCAAAGCGCTTTACCAATGAGCCTTATTCCCAGGTTACAGATGGGGAAACCGAGGCCCAGAGCAGGGGAGACGACTGGCTCCAGGGCATCGATCAGGCCCAGAGCAGAGTTGGGTATAGAATACAGCTCTGGGGTCCCCTCTCCCCTGAGGTATAGTCACTAGGAGAAACAACCTCCGCACCTTTGGCCTACTCTGCGTCTACATTAGGGGGTGTCACGATGGTGGTGAGAAAGGACAGCCTTCACTGCCATAGTTACACCGATGAGGGTTGACCAAGCTTAAGCCAAACTGATTCCTAACTCAGGGTTTGTCTCCATGGAGAAACTGACTGGGGCTAGCTCTTCGGAAATCACAACTGTGCTATGGCCTTTCTAGGGCCACGTGGGGAGTTTATTGTCAACCAGCATGAGCACTTTACGTTCACACCTGACTGTCCCCGGGAATAACTTCCCCCGGAAGGCAAGCCCTCAGAATCCACACCCACATGCACTGAAATGGGCTTGGGGGGTCCTGGTGGAGAATCAGCTGAACGTGGACTCCTGGTGCCCGCTGGCAAACGCAATCCCGGGATGTATAGATGGGGGGCTTTTGAGAGGTTATTTTCCCTCTGTGTTCGGTCCAAGTGCGACCGCTGCTGGGATCCTGCATCCGGTTCTGGTGCCCACAACTTGGGAAGGAGATTGATCAATGGGAGAGGGGTCAGAGAAAAGCCAAGGACATGACTACAGGACTGGGAAGCCTACCTTACCCAGAGACACTCCAGGAGCTCGGTATGTTTAACTTATCAAAGAGATGGTGAGGGGCGACTTGGACATTAGCCTCAGGCAGGGGGCTGGTAACCGGAGTCCTGGGGGCTTCAGCCCCAGGCCCCAGCAAATCTAAGCCAGCCCTGGCGACCCCTATTAAAATGGGGTCGCGACCCACAGTTTGAGAACTGCTGCACTAATGCAATCCAATGGCTGGAAGTTGAAGCCAGACCAATTCAGACCGGCAACCAGGGGCAGATTTTTAACAGTGAGCGTAATTAACCATTGCAACCATCCACCAATGTGTGCAGCAGATGCTCCCGCCGCATCGGTGTTTAAATCAAGATGGGCTGGTTTTCTGAAAGAGCTGCTCTGCTGTGAACACGAATTCGTTCAGGGAAGTCCATGGCTGGCCTTATACAGGAGGTCAGACTGGATAACCGCCCAACGGTCCCCTTTCTGGCCTTGGAATCTCTGCATCTATGAAGACTGATGAAACAGTGCAGATGTCGCCACCCTGTGCGATGCTACAGTGCAGCTTGCCATATTGATGAAAGCCCCAGCTCCTGGAGTCCTGTGAATCCATGAGAATCTCAGCTTGCATTGTTTGGGGGGGGATTAATTTCTAGCCCCCAAGGTTGTGGACAAAAGTTTGACCGCCCCCACACACATGCTAAAAACCTAGAAGATGAATAAAAAGAACACCACATCTACCATTTTTTAAATTGCATGGATTTTTAAGCCAATCTTGTGGTTTGGAAGGGGTGGGCTGTCACAGGGTGATTGGCCCCTTTAAGAGGGAGCAGGGCCCATGCACCTTGCTGGTCAGCTGCCTCCCCATGTGGCTTAAGAGGAGGCAGCTGGGCCATATAAAGCAAGGGAGGGTTAGCTAATGAAGAAGTGTTCCAGACTGGAGGAGAACAGGGAGAAGAAAGTGCCTAGAAGACAAAAGCTGCAGGAGAGCAGTAAATGTGAGTGGCTGATGTTGAGGAGAACTGGCTGGAGCTAGGGATCCCCAGTGAATTGCAGGAAGGTTTTTGCAGAGACCCCTAGGAAAGAAATTGAAGAAGCTGGCTCAGTGCATGCTGGTGCTGGGAGAGGGGAACCCCAGAAGCCAGGAAGGGAAGACAGGAATGGATTGCTCCTAAGTGGATCGCTTCCCTTGAAGCTCTGATGCTGGTTGCTGTTGGAGCCAGGATACTGGGCTTGCCGGACCATTGGGCTGACCCTTGCTTGCAGGAGACCTGCTGTGGGGCTATGGGAGAGACTTGTGGGTCACGGGGCTGTCTGGAGAGATGGGGAGCAATGGAACTGGGGCAGAGTGGTGGATGATCTTCAGGCAGGATTCCCCAATTCACGCACCAGGTTGGCATCTCCGCTGGCGAGGCTGAAGGACATTGCTTTCCAAACTCCCCCTGCTCAATGAGTGAAGCTGTGGTGCATAGACCAGGCCTGTGGGTGTGGGTGGGACCAGGTGTCATGCAGTTTGGTTTGTACTCTGGGCAGATTTTCACCATGTCAGCCGATTTCTCCTGTCTTTGCGCGTGCAAACCCGGGTGTCCAAGTGCGTGTGCATGTGTGAACCCACACAGGATTAAATGGCCTAAAAAAAAAAAAAAAAACCTTGCTAATGCAGAATTTAAGGTGGCCTGGAGCAATCTGGTGCGCTTCCAGAAGGTCACATTCAGCAAAAACTCACCCTTGTGAAAGCCAGCAAATCCAGCGTTGAAGTACACCCCCACACAGCGTTCACTTGGCCCCCCTGGAGCTGGCAGCAGCCCCTGGGAATTATCCGCAGCTGCCGTGTTAGGTGTAGGTGTGCGGAGTGGTGGAGGAATTAATTGGAGCAGCTTGGAAGAGTTGTGATGGTGACAGAATCCCTGGTTTCTCTCTCGTGCTTTCCATCCCTAAATCTCCGCTTGCGTCGTTACCTTTAATGCTGTTAACATCACAACCCCTCAGCAAGGCTGCTGTGCAGATAGGGAAACCGAGGCAGGCAGCAGCTAAATGATTTGAGTACCTCTAGGGCAGGGAATTGAACCCAGGTCTCTAGCTAGCGCCTAAACCCCTGGACCATCGCTCCTGCACACACGCCCCTGGGACTAGGGACAGCTGTGTCGCACTGGGGTTTTGGTTTAGAGGCCCAACGGTAATTCCAGCCCCACTGTGTCCGGCATGGCACAGACGCAGAATGAGAGGCCAGCCCCTGTCCCAAAAAGCTCACAACAGAAATGCACAAACAGGCTGCAGACTGGGTTGCTTTCCTAGGCCAAGCTTTGCAGCCAGGTTAGAGAGAAGCTGCTGCCTGTGATATGTGCAGCTGGCAACAGGGGGCGCCAGAAAGAATATCTGTCTTTTCTAGCTAAAGAGCGGGAGAGGAAACTGAGGCAGAGGGCAGGGGCGTGAGCTGCCAAAGGTCAAACAGTGGTCCCCTGACATCCCTAGCCACTGTGTCATGCCATCTGTAAAAGGGATATACAAAAATATCTCCTTGGTCCATTTCGCCTCTGAATTGTCCACGTCTTCAGGGCTGCCACTTGCTGTGGTATGTACAGCGCCTGGCAGGGTACCAGTTATGATGATAACTATTTCATCGGCATCGCAGTAGCCCACAGAGCTCCCTGGCGGGGATCAGAACCCCCCCCCGACACACACACACACACTGTGCCAGGTGCTGCATGAACACAACAGAAAGACGGCCCTAGCCCTGAAAAGCTTGCAATCTAAGATGAGAGGAGAGAAAGGAGGTTCAGAGGAGGGGGGGCAAACTTGGCCCTTTCTCAGGGGTGCTGGGAGCCTGGGCTTCCAGCTGAAGTCACATGCGGGGGCTATGGAAGCATCAGGCCTCTGGATTCTTGCTCCCCCAGGCCGACTGCTCAGACACCTCAAGTGAAGTTGCCAAGCCCTGCCTAACCGGGAAACCCCTCTCTGGTGCTGACAAGCCGCCATCTCATTCCACCAGAAGCACCGAGCCCGGGCCGGATCCTC